ACAATTTTGGGTTCAGAATCAACTACGTTCTTCGACTAATAAACAAAAAATGTTTAGAAGCTAAAGCCAAGAAGCATTGATAAGAATCAAATCAGCAACAATGCTTATGGTAAAAAATTTTGCGATAAGATTCTTAAAGAAAATTGGAAAATAGGATGCGGAATTGATCGACCCTATCCAAGAAATTCATTTTGTAAGAAAAGGTTCAAATGGAAAAAATGGAAACCTGGTAAAAAACCAGTTCAAAATAAAAAGAAGTATATCAAAAGAAATACTTCAAAATCAAAAAACCCTTCAAAAAGGAAAGGTAGCAAATGCTATATTTGCAATGAAGAAGGTCATATCGAACCTAATTGCCCAAAAAAAGGGCAAAGGAGCAACCAAGATGATAAAAATGATTGAAGAAGAAGATCTTTGTGTTTAAAAAAACACAAGGATTTCAACAATTTAGTGGAAATACCAGAGCATAATACACTTCTCATGGTATGACAGATTTCAACATCTTTAGCAAAGAAAAAGTTGCAAGATGGAAATCTTAGTATCCAGAAGCCCGGTATATCCATATAGCAATGGTTCAAATCAAAATAACCTCTCTCTTCAGAAAAGGAACTGATCAACCAATCCTAGTCTTGGTTATGGATAACAGACTTCATAATCCAATTGAAGCTCTAATTGGAGGTGTTTAATCCAATTTAGTCAACAATGTTATTTGGTTTAAACTAAAACCAAACTACTTTGTTTCAATTGATGATCCCAATATTGAAAAAGTTTTAAAAGTCAAAATTAAACTTTTGAATCTTAAAATGGATCATGATTCCCTTAGTTTAGGAATTCAGCGGAAAGTTCTTCATGAACTAACTAAAGTTCCTGAAACTTCAACTCACAGGATTGACTCAAAATCAGTCACTCTTTTCGAACCAATCTTTATCTGTAGCAAGCCCTTGTCATGCTTCAAATTGACAAACCAATCGAATACCTCTGTAGATCATCAATCTTCATCTGAAGCATGTCCTTATTAGGGCTACAAATGAACCGAGTTGTTCATGAACAGCTCGGACTCGGGCTCGGGCTCGTTCATTAAGCAAACGAGCTGAGCCTGAACAACGTTGGGCTCGGGTCGTATAGGCTCGTGAATATGGGCTCGTTAAGGCTCGTGAATAAGGCTCATATCAAGCTCGTTATATATATCAACAAAGGCCCATTTATTTTTATTATAGATTTAAAATGTTTAGTTCAAGCTGGCCTAACTCACATTTTTTATTAATATGGCCCCAAGAATTATAACTCACTAGCCTAAAGAAGATCCATCAAGGCCCAAATAAGATTTCATCTCACCCATTAAATTAAAATCCATCTCATCCATTGATTTTGTAGATGTTACAAACCTTAAAACTAAGGCCACCATTCATATCTGCTTCTTCTCCACGACAAATCCCATCGTCAGCCTCTCTCTCTCACTCACTCACTCACGAATCAACTCCACCGGCTTAGTCCATTGACGACAACTCTTCCATCTACACAACTAACTCTCTGTCTCTCTCTATTCAACTCCATCGTCTAATCCACCGACAACCCCTCCACCAGCCAAAACTCTCTCTCTCAGATCTGAACGCATCGTCTGTCCTCGTCATCGTCGACCGTCGTCCTCTGTCCTCGCCATCGACGTCGTCCGCATTTAAAAAAAAAAATTCCTTTTTTTTTTTTTTTGGGTAATACTAATTAATTTTGTAATTTTTTTTTTAAAAAAAAAAAAATTTAATGAGGCGAGCTAGAGCCGAGCCTGAGCTTTTAAAATTAAGACGAGCCCAAGCTCAATTGTTTGAGCTTGTCACGAGCCGAGCCCGAGCTCAAGCAAACACGTAAACAAACGGGCCAAGCCTAAGCAGACCCAAGATCGGGCTCGGCTCGGTTCATTTGCAGCCCTAGTCCTTGTCCTCCAGAATTGTGACCTTAGCATTGAATCTGGGAGTTAAGGACCTGAGAATCTTCTTATAAACATCATAATCCTTTACATCTTCACCAAGGGCCTTGATATTGTTGACAATTTCATTGATTCTAAACAAGTAATTTGAGACAGCCTCCCTTTCATCCATTTTACAGCTCTTGTATTGAACTTTGAGGAGCTGAATCTTGTTCTCCTTGATCACATTGTTTCCCTCGTGAGCAACCTTGAGAGAGTCCCACATTTCCTTAGCTGTTTTACAGTATTGTTTGATAGCACAGAAGAGAGCATGCTTTGCCCTTCCATCATTGGCTATAGTTGTCTTATCATTTGCCGAGGGATGGTCAGCATTCAGAACTACAATTCTAGCTATTGTAGTATGCCACACATCATGACATCAGGAAGGACTCGATTCTTGTCTTCCATGAATCATAATTGGAACCATCAAATCCTGGAGCTTTGTTGGTAACTTGACCTTCATCCATTGCATAAGATCATTTGCAGGTTAGTTAAACCTCTATAAGAGGACCAAAGCACTCATACCAATTGATGAACAAGAAATTTAAGCAGATTTGGCCTGTAAAGTGACTCCACGACACAATGTACCTTCCCCAACTTATTTTAAATGTGCTCTCATGATTGTAAAATGACTTACTGCCCCTGTATATATCAGATATGACCTGAGCACACCAGAATTGGTGAAATATCTCAGTAGCAGCCCTAGAAGCATACATTTGACATTAAAAGTGCAAACAACTATGGACCAACAGAGGTATATTTGGTTTGAATGACCTAGTTGATTGACAGTGGGTGGTTAGGGCAATTCTGTAAAATCTCAACGGAGGTTGACCACAAACTTTCAACTAGTTTCTTCTGAAAAAAATTTTGAAAAACCTCTTGAGGGTACTTTACACTAAATTCTTATTTTTAAAGGTGCAATGGTAAACAGAGAAAAACTACATATAGCACTTATAAAATATATATTAAAAAAAAAAAAAAAAATTAAAACGCTACATATAGTAGGGTTAGCCTAGTTCCGTTCACCTCTGGTAATCCTAAATCCTCGAAATCATCATCAGTTAGGCATACAAGAGTGGCCATATCCATCTACAGAAAAAGTATAAGGCATCAAAATAGTGAAGGAATTTCTTAAGGTAATGGTAAAACCAAAGCCGGTACATAAAATTGCAATAAACAAAGGAAAGTTATACAATTCACGCACGTCCTCATATTCGAATATTGTTGAATAATTTTCAAGACCCAACGCCAGCACGAAACCATCCACCGACTGAACCTGCACAAAATATGTACCCCTTATAAGTACAAAAACACACCTCATATTCTGTTTTTAATCCCCACTATCTATATTTAATTTTTATTATTAAAATTCATTAGCTAAGATGACGTTTAAGATACACCTTGCAAACCCCAACCCTCAAATAAAAAGGGGAAAAGAATCTGCAACTTCACCGCCAAGTTCAACCCTTCAGGGTGAACAACCAACATAAGATTAGGCGATTGGTATGAGAAGTGCTAATAAATTGACTATTTCCAGAGACAGAAATTTCATGGGAAAGAAATAGCCTGCACTGCATGATCAAAATATAATAACTATACAAGGAAAGTCAACTATTAAATACCTACCCAAACAGTTCGAAATCAGTTAAAAAAACAGAAGAAGAATGAAATTCACTATGAATCACACCATAAGTACCAACAACAGTAATCTAGTAACATCTCCTCTACCTCCCAAAGTGAAAGGTGGGGGTTCAAGTCCCCAAAGGGACAAATGGGTATGTCAGTTTCTTGCTAAAGAATAAATAGAGTCAGAAGTGAAAATAAAAATTACTAAATCCATTAACTTGAGTGTGCCACTCCCCAAAGGGAATGTGAGGTCGCAATTCCCGTTGGAACACTTATGTTTGTCTTACCCAGAAGTGAAAAGCAAATAATAAAGATTTACTTAATTGCAAAACACCCTAAAAAATTAAGAACTCCTTCTTTGAAAAGTAGTAAAATACAACGATAGAAGAAATATTTTGAAAAATGGAAAACAGTATGACGTGGATATTTCTAAAAACTGAGGCTAAGCAGACGACTCGTTTTATAGCAGCTTGACTGACCCCAGGTACCGACTCCGGCTTTGGTGGATCAGTGTTCACTGGCTGCATATGTGTGTCAACATCGAGATCCTCAAACTCCTGCAGCCCAAACAATAGGACCTCCTGTAATAAAACCCTTTCCACTTTGAGTTCTTTGCTGACATTCGATCAGAGTACCATGCACAAAAGGTTGCTATATATTATGATTGTTATAAATAACAAACATAATATATAGCAAAGTAAAATACAATCATAGCTGCAGCCTTTAGATGAATGCAACTGTCTGTCAAACAATTCATACTTGACCAGAATTCAGACTTGTAGGCATATTTACTGTGTCTGCAAAACAAAAGACCTTCAGTCAAAAAAAAAATTTAAAAAAAAAATGACCAAAAAGATAGAAAGCTTTGTGCCTCAACTTAATATAATGGCAGTCCATCTTACTTCATACTAAATGCCCGTTTGGCGTAACTTTTATGCAGAAGAAAAAGAGAAGTAAAAGTTATCACTTCTATTTGTCTTATGTATTAGTGTTTGGAAACTACATTTTAGAAGAGCTTTCAATGCAAAAAGAGTTTTTCTATATCTGTTTGGCAAAATATTTATTGAAGCACTTATACTACTAAATTAACTATTTTGCCCTTAGAGTGTTTATATTTTTTGAACTGTTGAATGGCATAAACTACTTTCCCTGTTTTATATACACAACTCTTTTTTAAACACTTACAAATAAACCAAAACTTCAAAATTGTGATATTATATTTTTATAACTATTGAATAACATAAACTAGTTTCCCTGTTTTATATACACATCGTCACAACTCTTTTTTAAACACTTACAAATAAACCAAAACTTCAAAATTGTGATATTATATTTTTATTTTTTAATAGTTGGTACTCACACACACATCTCTATTGAGACTTAAACCGAGGTTGGTACCGCTAGGCCAGTCCTTTGGCTATTATATTTTTATTTTGTTTTATCATTATATCAATTCATGAAATTTAAATGTGCGCGCAAGGGGAAGCATTTCTTCACCTACATTTCATATAAGTAAATAAAGGCCTCAAAAATCAGTTGATAATATTTTTTTTTTTTTTTTGGTCTTTAACGTACTGTGAAATTTTATAGAAAGTAAATATACTCTAAAACTTTTCATGTACCACTAACTAACAATATATACAATTTACAAAGCTATTGAAGTAGCAAAATATGTCATCGTTGAATCACAATCTTCCAAATTGGTAAACTCTATTAACAAGGTAATCTTCTTTATATTCCAAAAATTATAGTGTGTCATCAGCACATGGAAGGTTTGCTTTCACTTTTCCAGACCCAAAAATTGTAATCCATCCATACTAAATTTCCCTAGTTCACAATTCCATATTAGAAAGTCAACGGAACATGCAACCTCACCATCTTAATTCATGGAACTTCACATAATTTAGAACAATAGAATGAACAATGGAAGGAATAGTACTAAAAAGTGAAGGAAAAAAAAAAACCCACCCCATCATATTATTGGTATTTCACTAAACAAATACTTCATCATAAAGAAAATCTGTCATTCCAAAACCCAACAAATAACAAGCACAGCATCTAAAAGTAGGTAAAATTAAATATAATGAGGGGAAAAAATGAAGAAGAAGAAATTGAAACCCAATGAATGCTCCATCTAGAATAAGTATCATGTAAAAACTTGGTGGAATGAAAAATGGACAAAAAAAAATAACAAAAAAATTGAAACTTCTCATGAAAGATGAATAATTTGTGATTTCAGCATCAACAAGTAAGGAAACTGGGCTTAAATTACATCAATTTGTTAGGAAAAACCGTCTCCAAAGAGAATAATCCGATATACTATACTTGACGGATAAAAAAAAACTGCTAGCCTTTGCTCCAAAGACAATGGAAATTAATGAGCGGCAATTCCCCTTTTCTCTCCACACTAATAGCTTTGACTTCGGAAGTCATTGCATCAACAAAGAATAACAGAAATTTTAGACCATTAAACCGCCATATTTGTTTCTGGTACAAATCATTGGGAAAATATCACAAACCGATACTATTGTATTTCTTTAGTTGTTCATACCCAAAATTGAAGAACAAACACAACTCAAGGAAAAAAAATCACAGGCCTTGAATATAAGATGGTTTTTTGTTCCTGTTGCAGGCTGCCGAGTGGTCTATATCATATAGTATTGCTGCAGTCGTCAGAAGGAAAGAGTTGAATGTGAGCAGAAACCCTAGAAGACAAGAGTAGCCAAATGGTAGGAATATTTATTTGGGATACGTTGGGAACAAACAATATTTTACATATAAAACATAGGGTATTATGGGAATTATAAAAATTTAATTAAAACAAAAGACGGCTTCCCGTGTCCATCAGGAAGAGCGTTTTGGGAAAGCTACCCTCCCCCAGCTTCAGTCAAACGCTCTTCCACAGGCTTGAAGCTCTTCCACATTGTAATCCAAACGGGGCAAGAAATTGCTTTTGAGTCCTAAAAGCCAAAAGCGGCTTTCAAAAAGCCAATCCAAACTGGCCCTAAGAAACAAAATGTAGGAAAAGGGAAGTGTATCTAAGAGATTTTATTACTTAATGGCTCACAAATGTAGAACAGGCATAAATTGTATACACGTATTACTCAATTATATAGATCCATATGCCTCAAATAAAAATGTCATGTTCATTAGTGTTCCAGAAGCAATACGTATGATGCATAAATGAGAACACACCAGATAAACGGCAATTGTTACGACAAACGGAACGAACCAAGAACAAAACACGAATCACGATATAAAAGTAAGCACGTCACTCACAAAAAACATAAGGATTTATGTGGTTCGGCACAAATTACGCCTCGAAAGATTTCACTATAGGAAAATCAGAAAATTACAAGATTCAACCCCAAAATTCTCTCGCTCACTCTTTTTCCTACGACTTTCAATGTCTCACTCTAACCCACACCAAATAGGAGTGGCAATTTCCTCCGGCCCGGGGGGTTTCTGCCCTGCCCGCCCCTAATAGGACGGATTTCGGTAAGCCTCGTTTAGGAGTAGGGGTGGAGATGGTATTTTGTTTTTAAACCCCGAACGAGGCGGGTTTAGATTTATAAATACATATTTACCAATTCTATTATAGCACTCCAGTATGTCAAGGTCTTGTCTTTTGTCTTTAGTTGATTTCTCCTTAGACCACCGGCTGCGCCGAACGCGATAGAGCCCTAGAGAGAACGTGTTTGGTGTTTCCCCCTTTCTTTCTCTAAAATCACCATTGAAGCTCCTAATAACACAAGTAATTGATTCATAATTTTCGCAGCTTAGGTTTGCATTCAAATTCCTTCTTCTCTTTCTCTCTGTTTTTTTTTTCTTTTTCTTTTTTTTTTTTCTAGTTCTCTCTATGTTTATATATATATATATTGATAAGGATAAATATAACAAACAAAAGATAACAAACTGTTTAAATGAGCACGCAATTCAAATTCAAATTAGATAGGGATAATGTAATCCCCTCCCAAAAGATCTCTCTTGAATCACCAAAAGTTATAGCTCGGCATTATGATGCGCCACGACGTTTACCTTCTCTTATAAGAAGGTGATCGATCCACTTGAAAGGTACGAGAAATTAAATATAGAATTTATTTTCTTTTACATACAAACTCACAAAACTGACTTGGTCGTCTGAGGGTACCCGGCCGGCACCCGGCCAGTGTCAGGCCTCAGTCACCATCCCTTTTCTTTTGCAGGAAGCAGTGCTAATCCGGGTTGTGCAGAATTTCGCTTCAACATATATATATAATTCTTTATATTGCCATAAACGTAAATCTTCATGTTGTGCAGAATTTCGCTTCAACATATATATATAATTCTTTATATTGCCATAAACGTAAATCTTCATATTGAACTTTTCTCCAAGCTTTTTTAGTAAGAAATATTCCAGTTTTGGTGACTAAAAGGCATAGATCTTGTGCGTTTTGTGATTAGCAAATCGATTTGATGTTTGTCATTGCATTGATGGTGGATTGCTAAATGTATCATCTGGTTTAGAAAATTTTGGGCGTTTTAACAGAACAGGGCGGGGATGGTATTCTTACCAACAACCTGTCCTTGGTTCTTAACGGATATGGTATGAAGGATTTCTTAAAAGGGTGAGGTAAGGTTCACTCAAACCCGTACCGAATCCGCCTCTTTGCCATCCGTAACTCCAAACACTATACGCCCTTATGTACCCGGCTACAAGAGAGTACTAAATAGGATCCACGACCTGCAAGCAAAAAACGGGTCACAATTTTTTTAGTCCCACACAACTCACTGTTCGGGTCTAAACAGAGTCGCAATGCAAACCAAACCAGGCCGAAACAAAATTCAGGCCACAATATCAAACCAGCAATATTTCACCATTTGCTAATAAAATTAAATTTCTTTGACTGAAAAATATTATTGGAATAATACAACTTAATAAGGATTCATGGGAGAAAAGGTATCACAGGTTTGTGGTTGCATATCTTTTAATAATTCTTGAACTTTATTTGTGTTTTTATTTCATATTTATACCCCTCAACAACCATATATATGTGTGTGTGTGTGTGTGTGTGTGTGTAAAGATATATATAACATTGTCACTTTCCCTGTTTCTTATTTTGCATTACAATAAAACATAAACTGAATGCAGGACATTTCCCTTCATACTTGGATAATATAAATTTAGGATCATCTCAACAAATCATACAACTTACTAATTTTTGTCAAGGCTGGAAATTGCAACAAACAAAAACTCTCAATACACGGATATAATCAACAATCAAACACACCCTTCCAATATAATAAGTACTTATCACAATTAAATTATTTTTTAAATTATTTGGTAACAACTTTTTTAAAACACTTCTATTGCTGAATTTACAAAAATATCCTTTAATATGACAATACCATATTTGATAATAGCAACTTTATTAAGAAATGGGGGTAATTGTCGTTATAAAAAATTAAATGGACAAAAATGTCTAATAAAAAAGAGTAACTAAAATATTCAAACGCAAATGGTAACTTTTAAGGAGTAGAGAAGCAAAAGCCATGAAAAGAAGGAAAGGATAAACAATTACAACAACAAAAATTCATATAGAAATACAAATACTTACTGGGAGTCCAAAAAAAGTGATGTTAAATTTGCCGGGGCGAGGTTCTCTATATTCAAGGCGCAGAGAGCTGACCACATCGTTGAAAGGTGCATGTCATCAGAAACTTGGATGATCAAGATGGAAACATATTGAAAGTAGGAGGGGTCAACATTGAAACCAGTCTTCATTATACAAAATCTTTTGTTTCCCAAATGAACAAAGCAACCGGAGAATGTGGGATCACAATCCACTGGTAGATCTTTAAAGTCCAGTCCTCTAAAATACACTGGAACACCAATAGATTGAATGATACCATCATTCTCAACGACTTGATATGCAATCAAGTTATAATTACGGCCGAAAGTCTATAAATAACCATCAACATATTCAGCCTTTCCAAAGATCGGGTAATATAACCCATTCTCCTTTTCCTTCTTGATGACCTGCCAGTTCTTCATTTCACTCCCGATTCTGTAATAATAGAATTCTGAGTTACCATGAAGAAAATCATGGACTAAAATGAGAATACAGTACTGGATGACTGCATAAACAGAGATAATTCTGGGTAATTTTCTGTCCAAAGGATACTCAGGTAGGGAACAATCATTATAATCCGAATCATGCCATCCATCCAAAGGATCTAAACGTTCGAAACATGGAGAGCGTATTTCATAGGACGAATACAAAGTAGCCCCAGCAAGCACAAAAAAACCATAATCAGGGTCAGCCATCACTAGGGGACAAGGTTTTTCTGCTTCTGGCAACGGCAATACGAAACCCTTTTTGGTATTTGTATTGAAACAAATGGGTTCAAACTGCAAAAACCTGTCATGCAGATCCCAATATGAAGCCATCAAGACCATTTTCAATCCTGTGAAATCACAACCAACCAGTGAATATACTCTTTCTTCATCTAAGCAACGAAACGCTTTCTGCAGAGGACTAACTCTTGCAATTTTAGAACCAATTTTTCCTCCTACTACAACAAATTTGATTTCATAAATTGCAGCACAATATCACATCTTCTCTTTGTTTCCCGAGCCTCTAGTGAGTTACAGACACAGTTCGAAAAGCACCACCAAAACTAGCAACCAAATGCAATGATACTCCCACATCATCCATCTTTAATTTCCTTCCTCCTCCTTCGCCGGAGATGTAAGAGACTCTCTACCTGAGGGCTCTCAACGTTGCAAAAGAGACGCTCTGTGCTTCGCGTAGAAGAGGCCTTTTAGGGTTTTTATTGCCTCCCACTCCCTCCTCCCTCGATTATAAATGGTAAGGAGTGCGTGTGCACTTTAGCTAGGTCTGAAACAAGAGCGGATATCAACCAAAATCAACTGTTGTTTAATTCAATTTTAGTTAATTAACAATATTTCTTTAGACAATTGACTGATGAAGGCATAGAAAATCCTATTTGGGTAATTAATAAAAAAATTACCAATTTATTTCTGAACAATTCACCACTAAGAACCCTCTCTTCTTTTGACCAATTTACTAATCCTATTTGAGAATCTACCAGTGGAAGCAAAGTGTGAGGTAGTTCATGGCAAGCCCCTTCCAACACTATGGAATGCACTCAAAAGCATGTTTTTTGTAAGTATTTTAATTTTCAAGAAGTAACTTTAGAGCTTTACCATATATTAAGTACTTTTGCTTGTCAAACTTCTTGTTACGATTTTTTTGTAGTTCTGAAAAGAGTTCCATAGCTTGGCATGTTGATAAAATTAGTTTCAGATTCAATCTCTGCAGACCCTTGATAGATCAGTTTAGTTACTTTAGTATACATTTGACTTTTAAAATTAAAAAAAAAATCACATCAAACATAGAATCGTGAACGGCGGCGACTCGGAAATTTCAAGGGCTTCGTTCCATTCCCAATTTCCCAAACTGGTAAATCGTAATGACTAATGAATAATGATCAAAAACCTAACTTTACCAATTACCAAGTCTGTCAGAATTAGAAATCAATTCGGTTTTGAGTTCACTAACCTTAATGATGAACTGAAGGCCTTAGAAATCAATGAAGGCTTTTGAAATCGAGGGTTCCACTCGTACCAAGGGCGGATCTCGGCGGCAACTCGGCACGCAGAGGCCAGAGGAGGACAGTGGCGGACCGGTGGTCCTGGTGGAGTTGTGGAGATGAGGACAGAGGACCGAGTCGTCTGCGAATTGCAATTCGCGAATGATATTAGGGCTAGGAGATGGCACTAGTTCGTATATTAGGGCTTGTTTGGCTTGGGCTGTTTGGATTGGGCGTTCATTTTAGTATTGTGGCTTATTGACTCGGCTTGTTTGGGTGGGCTAATACTAATAATAATTTTTTATTTTTAAGATGGCTAAATTTACCAATAGTAATAAAAATAAAAATTGGTGAGCTAGAGCGGAGCCCAGCCCTCCCTTAAATCCACCATTACATACAGCAGACCCGTGTAGAACTAGCTACATGCACTGATTGAAGACATTGAATCCTCTAATCATGGCCATGGATTCCAAGAACTAACAAATAATGTAGATATAGATTCTTCTGATTTTGCAAAATCGAAGGAAAACCCCCTAATCTTCTATCTCTATCTAACTATAAAACTAAAAACTGAATTAATTTTCTCTTTTTTGCAAAATTGAAGTCGGTATTGCTTATGGGTACTCTTATACTTTGAATTTATGTTTATACTCATAGTTGGGGTTAGATAAAATTAAGGGTTAAGTGCAGAAAACCTCCATCTACTATCGATATAGTGCATATCAGTCCCTGTGTAGTAAAAAAAAACCATATGCTATCAATTTGGTGCGATTGGGTCCCTTGTGGTATAAAATGACGATAATACCCTTACTTCGGTTGAATAAATTAATGATTATAATACAGGCCATGTAAAATGACCATTTTGTCCAAATTTGTATAAAATAGGGTTTGTTTGGCAGAAGGATAATATAAACCTCAAATTGTTTTAAATATGGGATAACTTAGACCTGAATATAATTAACTCTAAAACCAAACATGCCCAACTATATAAAACACACTTAACCATTTTCAACCCTAAGTCTGCTGTGATGATCCTAGATTTTTCAACCCAGCGTGTCCTGTGATGACCCGAAGCGGAACCAAAATGCGGAAGCAAAACAAAAACAAGTTCTTAGAGATGTATGTTATCCCTAAGACACAAGAATGGCCTTTCGACGAAAATCGAGACTCAACGGAAACAAACGAAGACAAAGGTATCAAAACTCTACAAAAAAAGGACCAAATGATAAAATGGTCATTTTACCCGAAGAGGAAGGAATTTGACTTCTAACAAGTCAAATGAGATCAAAAACATTCAAAAACATCATTTGGTAACTTCACATGAAGTCCCAATGCCAAAGGAAGTGAAATCCCAAACGAACCTTATCCCGGTTCGAACCAAATCCGACACCCTATCACTAAAACAATGATATCTTGAGTTAGGAAAAGAATCTGAAACTAAAATTGGTACCATTGGAAAGCTGACTTCGACGCGGTCAGTTTAGACTTAAGAACGGACCAATTCGGTGTTAAAACGAAGAAGTTACATCAGATTGAAATTGGATGACCAAAACTTAAAACTTTGGAGAACTTGAACCGGTTCAACCTCTTTGAACCGGTTCAACATTGGCAGTACGCCCAAGCTAAACCAAAATGACACCTTGAACCGGTTCAACATTTCTTGAACCGGTTCAACTGCACCAGAACACAAAAAATGCAGCAGAAACGGTGTTTTAGCAGAAAAATGAATTTGGAACATGGTTTACAAGGTCAAGATAACATTTTCCGAAAAAAAGTCGTGAAGAAACTCCCCCTAAAATCACATTTTCTATGTGATGGAGTCAAGAACTGAATTTATTTCCTAAAGAAAATTACCAAAATGCCCTTAAGCAAGATTATGCAATAAAAATGTGAAATGAGTCCATAGGAGGCTCAAAACACAAACAAAAGGGTTTTTCATGAAAACGATCATGCACACAAACGTAAATAGTGATTTTAAGCGTGCGGGAATGGACCGCGGCTCCCATAAATGGCCGAGTCAAAATCCGACCCCCCGACGGCCAAAAAAGCGAAAATGAACTTAAAATGAAAACTTTGTAAATCAAAATCAACAAATAACTTCAAATGACCGTTTGGCCCTTAGCCACACTTCATACATGAATAATGAGACCCTATTAAAGAATGAAAACAGAATTCCCACACCTGATGCAACCATGGAAAAACAATAACTTGACATTTCTCAATAATTTCATAAAATTTCATGAAGTCAAAAAGTACAAAAAATACAAAATATATGTCATTGGCCTCCGGCCTCATCTCATACATGTCGAATACATTGTAAAGAATGTACTCATGTACACACTACACGTATGAAATCAAATATATACATTTTGACATATAAGGCTACAAGTGGCATTTCAAGCCGACCTTTACAAGAACTAAAGCCTTCAAGTCCACAATCATCCAAGCAATGATGAACATCACGAATTAAGTCTTCGTACCTAAAAAATATCCCCACAACGTGGGTGAGTAACATAAAGCTACTAGTAAGAGATGAACATGTATCGACCTAATTTTTTACAAGTTTGCATGATTTAATCATTGTGGTTCATTCCACTTAGCGTCTATGTCAAAGGTGAGACTCAGGGAGCATCCTAAGTTACCTTAGATCATTTCTAATATAAATCACATCATCTATGCAATTTCAACAACATAAAAGCATGCTTTCACAAAGCAACAAAATGTAGATTCTCAAGGTTATCAACTTGAAATCTAAAATGCTAGAATAACCAAAGTGGGTCATGCCACCTAACGTCTATGTTCCAAATGAATCTATAGGATCATTCCTAAGTCACATTTGAACAATAAATCACAAATCACAACATCTATGCAATTTAACCAATATAGAAGCATGCTATACAAAGCAACTAGATATAAATTCTCAAAGTTATCAACTTGAAATCTAAAATGCTAGAATAACCAAAGTGGGTCATGCCACCTAACGTCTATGTTCCAAATGAATCTATAAGATCATTCTTAAGTCACATTTGAACAATAAATCACAAATCACAACATCTATGAAATTTAACCAACATAGAAGCATGCTATACAAAGTAACTAGATATAGATTCTCAAAATTATCAACTTGAAATCTACAAGTACGAAAGCAACTAATTATAACAATTTAGTACAATTAGAATTCTAATACCACACATCAAGACATAGATTCTCAAAGTTATCAACTTGAAATCTAAAAGTGTGAAAAACAACTAAATATAACAATTTAGTATGGATGTCCTTAACAACATCAATAAAACCGCAAGTCACAATTAAACATGATTGTTAACTTGGAATTGAATGCGAAAACAAATAATGGAAGACTTGGACATCACGTCTTGGATTTCCGCCGAGAACAAAAATGGTTATTCCGGGCACTAACCTACTGGGAAGACCACCCTAGTGCACACTATCTCAATTGGGAAGAACTCATACCTCCCGCACTAGAGCCAAACTCTAGCCATGTCACTTGTAAAAATGTCCCAAGACTTCAAAATAATCAAATAAGTTCACAACTTATACGTAATTTATATAATACACGAAAACCACATTCCATGCACAAGTAGGTTGAAACTACACAATCCATGCCTAGAGTTTCAATTCTAAAATGGCATATATAATGTCAATTACAAAGTGTGCAATTCATTACACAGGGCATCAATATATTTCATAAAGAAGACATGTTCTCATGAATATAAATATAACAACAAAGTTGTCCAATGCTCAAAACACAACAAAGTGAATACATAACAAGTTCAAGTCCATGATTTAAATATAGAAACAACTTCTAAAACACAAATAGATCCATGGAGCCATTAGATAGAATTTAATTAAACAAAATAATTAAATTCTCTAGATTTCACCTCAAATTCAAATATCCTCAAATTAATATATGTTAAACAACATGTCATGGTCATTACACATATCAAATCAAAAGTGCAAAATGAGCAAGATAGCATCATGTAGAATTTAATTAATTTAAATTAATTAAATCTCTAATTTTTAAAAGTCATTCAAATGATCCCAAATAAATATATAACAAGCACTAAGTCATGGTCATACCATATATCAAGTCCAAAATGGGATACAAGCAAAACACAATTTACTAGAATTTAATCAAATTAAATTCATTAAATCTCTAGATTTAAAAACTCATTTAAATCATCCAAATTTAATATACAACAAAGATTAAGTCATGGTCATGCCATATATCTAGTCCAAAATGAGTCATAAGTAAACTACCATTAATCATAATTTCTCAAATTAATACAATACATGCATACAAGTTGAATAAGCATAAAAAACATGCAAAATAACAAACATATAATCCTATAACATCCCCTACCTCACTAGAGAAGTGTCTCTCTAGAATCCAAGGCAAAATCAACGCAAAATGGCAAATCCTTCTAGGGTTATGAAGAGGAAGGTGAGGGAAACAAAATGTATTCCTAAGTTCAAACTTGGAAATCAATGGAAGGCCCTCAAAAATGAAGGTCAAAGCTTAAGGCTTTAGGCTCTATCCATAGAGGCTATGGTTTTCTTTACAAGAGAAGGAAGAGATAGAAATTAAGTGTGAAAGAATGTGAGTAGAGGAAATAGAAATCCTCCACTCACTATGTGGTCTTACACCAAGGTCAACAGACACAAGTTTTGGTCAATTGCACAAAAACCCCTCTTAACAACATAATTCCAAAGTGGCCCAAAAATTAATTGCAAGACTTAATTTGGAGCATACACTTGTCACTCATCCAAGGCTCCATCCTAGGCTTAATCTCAAGCCTACACTTGTCAACCATCTAAGCTAACAAGTGCACCAATCCTGTGCCAACAAGTGGTTGAATCTCCACCCTCCACATGTCATCATCCAAGGCATCAAAGTATTTCCACACAAATGTCAACAAGTGGACCAATGAGAGTGTGACACTTGTCACACTTTTTCGAAAATTGCAAAAAGGTCATTTCTGAAAATATCTTCCAAATTAAATTACAAAATGGTCCCTGAGACGAAAAATAATTACTTTACAGTAATTCTACAAATGACCCTAAAAGAAAGAGAAATTACAAAGAAGTATGCATCCACACCCCTAAGGAAGAAAGACCACAACTAGCATGCTCTTCTACAAAAGTAAACATACACAGAGTATGGAATTTAAGTATCATGGATGTATGCAAAACCGGA